AGTAGGAGTAGGAGTAGGAGTAGGTTGTTGTTGTTATTGCAGTAGTAGCAACAGCAAAGTGCACCCCCAGGTGCCTGGTGTATGGGTGCCTCTGCACTGGTCATGGGGGTGTGTGGGTGGGGGGGGATGGGGGGGGGGATGTTGACGCTCCAAATGAAACTCGTGCAGCTCCTGGCGCGAGCCTGACCAGCCTTCATTTGATCTTCTGTCTTGTGCGAATGCTCCGCTTTGCAATGACGTGGGGGCAGACCTCATGCAAGCTGGGTGGCTTTCTGACCTTTCCTTTCCAGGAAATCCTGGAGACTTTTTCTAGCTACTTGGCAATGCTTCTGCCTAGTAACTTGAAACTAGTCGTAGACTATAGATTTAAAAAATACGCACATGGGGAGATAACTGCGCCTACTTTTTGTTTCCTCTGGCGGGTGGGGGGTTGGGGGATGATGACGTTCTGTGTTTCCAGATGCAGTAGGAGGCTGTTAGCAGAAGTAATACTCGCGAACATACCGAAAGTACCGCGCCTGTGACACGAAACAGGGCCTAAGATAGGATTGATAACCTACGGAAGCAACCCGTCGTGTGACATGCCACATCACGTCATCACATGTCCTTGCCTGTCATGTTAAAGCATATCATATCATATCGTCATGTCACGTTATATCTTATCATGTCATGTCAAGTCATCTCTTATCATTTCAGATCGTGTCATGTCACACGACGGGTTGCTTCAGTAGATTCTCAATCCTATGTTAAACCCTGTTTCGTGTGACAGGCGGTATGTTCGAGAGGGCTATGTTCAAACCTACTACTGCCCGCGTAAGAGCCTCACCTGGCCGTAAGCGCGACTAGCGTGTCCAAAACTCGAGTTTTAAGCGTTTTCAAACCCCAAACGCAGACAAAAAGAATGCCTTCACCAAACAAATCCAAGAGGAAGCCTGTTTCCTGTGGCAGGCGTAGTAGAATCGATGCAAACGGCCGTTTCGAAGGGTCCAATAATCCTCCCTTTATCCGCAATTGAGGAAGTATACTATCTCGTGTTTCCCCATTACAACAAGGTCGTGAGAACGCATCCTTCGGATGGCTCTGCAAAAATCTAACTTAGTGTTGCTGGAAGAGTTTCGTGCTAACAGGAAAGGCTAGCTGCCATGGAATGAGCTGCTTGATGTGCACGAGCATTTTGCATGCCTATCGCGCCCAATGCAATCTGTCTTCCATGAGCTTGGACACGGCTCTGGTGGTGAAGAGATTCACGTGTGCATCGTTGTCGCCTTCGTTGTGCGACTCGTAGTCATAGTTGTACTAGTCCAACAAGCAACAGCAGCAGCAAAGCAGCGTTAACGCCAGCAGTTTGGGCCCCACGAGTAGTTTACAAGAATCCTGCTTTTTCGCTCCTTCCGAAATTACACACAACACCGAGGTGGCGCAACGGATAGGTGTCACAAAATGCCCCCAGGCGCCCCAGGGCCCCTGGCCAAAGTGGCAGTGGTAGTTTTTGTTCCTTGTTGTTGTTGTTGATCTGATATGTAAACATCAACGGCAACTGACAGGACAGGACGACGCTGCTGAAGTTGATGCGCTTGGACAGCATGACGTCCAGTGGATACCTGGAGTGCATGAGGCTGCCTAGATGGGTACGCCTTCCCTTTAATTGTTCATGTCGGTTAAGGGCTAGTGATGGCACTTGCTGAGAAACATCTTGGCAGTTGATGTCTTCGCAGTTCCTGCCAGAATCGCTGCAACGCTCACAGGCGGCCATTGCACAAATCAGATGTGAAGATGCTTTGGCACACGAATCCGCAGCCGTGTCATGAATCAGCCTGCAGAGCCAACCATCAGGGATGACCTTGTTCCCCCAAGTGTCGTTCTTTGTACATGTATCTTGGCACCAACACACATCATGTGCTGCCACCTATGCGCTTCCTCCAGACTGCGTGCCGGCAACTAGCTGCACAAATCCTCAAGCATGACTGGAGACAGTGCTTGGGTCCGGGCTTGTAATTGGGGGGAATCTTCGTCATCTCTTGCTTAGCGATCACATCAATCATGTATTCGGCACCTGGACAGAAAAGAGCTATTGGCTCCAACAGGACAGAACATGCAGCAAACCAGGTCTAAGTACTGCACGGCATGAGTCCATTGTGGGAATAAGAAGCGCCTCAGGACATCCGTCTACAGGAGCAGCCGCGTGCAGGAGTCCCGCGTAATCTCAGGTGGCAGCAGAGAAGCGCAACAGTTTCGGTACCTCGCTTGCTCAACAAGAAACATTAAGGAACCACTGCCTACATGATTTCACATCGCACGGTGCTGTGAGGAGTGGCAGGGCTTACAGAACAGAGTCGCGCGCGGCCACACAAGAAGCACAAACACCGCTGACTCACAATCACTTGTCATGCAGCAGCATTTAAAGTCCCCAGTGCATTCTACGAACTGCGACGGTGTTGTTCACGCCAGTCATGATTCCCTCGCGTTTCATCGACGCGGAATTGCAGCAGCCTACTTTAAACACCGAGTTGAGTGCCAGGTCACGATGGCTTCTGTCACGAGACTCTTGCCAAGCTGATGTGGAATCCCAGAAGTAGTTGCGAGATCTTCTAGGACGGTCCCGATCAGAGCAACGTCCCGCCCAAGTGCGTTGATTCAAGAGATCGGGATCAAGCGCCGGTCGGCGCTCTGCCTACAGAGTTCCAGGCTGCAGTCGGACTCGGCTTGGGTTTGCTTGAACGGCATATGGGGTTTTGAGGGGTTACCAGGCAGCACGTCGTGGCAGAGCCGTTTGGTGTGCGATTCCTTTCGATAGACTCATCTCTCAGACAGGATCCTCAACTCAACATCCCCAGTCAGGCAAAACGAATGCTGTCGGGCAAAATGCCACGCCAAGGAACCTTCCACTCAGCGGGTGCCCAAAGCTTCCATGGTCGAGACTTGTCTGCTGGATCTGGCACGTACTCGAAAATCCTTGCTGCAAGTGATTCGGGCTCGTGTATCCCAGAGATTCCCAGAGCCTACATCCCAAGCCCTGAGGCCAGTTCGTCTCGCCCTCCTGGCAGGGTGGGACGTACTGGCCATGTCCGGCCTTGCGAACAAAGGTGGGCTTTGGCTTGAACTGGGAGTGGTTTGAAGGACTTGGGGGTCAGACGACGCCCATCACGTCACCTGAGCTTTCGGGAACTCCCATGGGATTTTGAACTTTGAACCTCTGAGAGCTTTGCAAAGCTTGGTGTGGAAAATCTTCCGTGCCTCTTGCTCAAACAAGCCGCCCATCCCCCACCTCGGCAGGGCGGCGGTCGTCCAGCGGCGATGCCGTTTTTTGCGTCTGAGGCTTTCGCGCGACGGAGTAGGCCTCGTGCAGCTTTAGGGCATGGCAGGAGGGCCAATTGCCAACTCGTCAGGCCCGAGCAAAAACTCGAAGGCAAGCAGCTTCCTGCACAGCCTGCAAGGCGCATGTGCTGCCCCTAGGTTTGGAAGTGCTTGACAACCCTGCATGACTCATGCTCGACCGCCTCGTTCACGACCACATGCGTGCGCAAAGATGCCGACAGAAGGTTGAGTATGTTGGTGATCACAATGGACTCCTGCGATCATGAACCATGACTTTGCCATCACTTATGTGTACTGTCGACAAACACTCCCAAGCCCGATGCATTGGTCGACATGGATGACTTCAGATTTCGATCAATCCAATCCTCAGGAATGTGCAAACTGCAGCATTGACACGCTGCCGCAGAGAGCATGGCTATACCCCTGACCACAGACAGACAGACGGACAGACAGACAGACAGACACACACACACAACAAAAAAACGCACTTGACACGATGTGCACAAATTCGCAAGCTTGAACAGACGCCGGGATAGACTTCGCCGTGCTTCAAGAAAAGGGGGAGGCTTCACAGGAACGCGTAAGCCGATGGCAAAGAAGTCGACTGCAGAGCCACCATCAGGTGGTGCAGCTTTCAGCCAGCCCTCCACGGCAGTTCGGATGACTTCAACCTGCAGTTTAGCAGCGCATGCACCATGAACGATGACCGCCATGTCATGGACTCAGCAACTCGGGCGCCTCTTGATGTCTGCTGATACCTCGGGCGCGGAGCAGAAATCAGGTGTACAGCCGTCTCAATCGCAGTCATTCCCCGACTTGGGTTGTGCCCCCGAGCGAGGCCGGTTTCAGCGGGGCACGACATCCACCTATGTGCATGCCCCTGTCTCGCTTGGTTCGATCTTGCCGAGGAAAGCAACTGCAAACTGCAGGGACGCCTGCGGCACTCACCCCCGCGCTTGCCCGATAGTAGTTACCAGTAAAAACAAGAGTTGGAGTCTGGACAATTTTGTATTCGCGAAACCATCGGAACTTTCGCGCAAACATATTTGGCTATACGTTGGCTTTTCGAACAAATTTAATTTTGCCTCAAGTTTAAATCAAACCCAAACCTACCAAATCTAGACTGAACTCCCAATGACCATAACCACCACCAACAAATTTCATAAGCTTAATAATCACAAGCCATATGGATTTTTACAGTAGTGCCTACATACATACATGCATCATGCTCTCTTGCCCGTGCCTGCTCATGCTTGGATCGTTGGCCTTCATCAGCCCTAAGGTCCTAGAGACAGGTAGACTGCTGGCCAACCTGAATCTGATGGACGAGGACAGCCCGGCAACACACCAGCCTCCACAAACCCAAGCTTTTCTTGCTGAGTTATAGCGTTGACTTGAACATGCAACGTTCGACTCAACGACGTCTCCAAGCGCATCACCTAGCCAAAAGGGTGTCTAAAGATCACTGTCGCCACTATGTCCTCAGCAGGCGTCTTGAAGCCTTGCAGGGCAAGGGCCCGGCCCCGAAACCTTGCTAGGACTGGGGCCCGGGGCCCCCACCGCGTCAAAATATTGATTGATTGTGTCATGTTAAAGCCGCAAGCCCGGCATTTTGTCATAGTTTACACCAGGGATCAGCTGCAGTCAAACAGCATCGTGCACAGCTGATGCAACGCAACACTGGAGTGACTGAGTCCCAAACCCATGTCCAAACGCTGCATGTACCACGACTCCACAATTGGTTCCCATCCTGAGCTAGCCAGTGCGACCACGTGAACAAAGGAATTTGGCAAGTCTACGGGGTCTGCTGAATTTCCAAGGTCCCTCACCCAGATCTGACGTAGAGACGAAGATGATCCCTGCACGTGAAACCTGCCGGCTGCTCAGCAACTGTTGTGCATCTTTGGTCACCCAGTCACCGAGACCGGACCGTCGCGGGGGATGCGTTTCGGAGGCTTTCAACTTCAAACCTGCATCTTTCGCCGTGCCAGTGGGTTGCTGCGGTGTCCGGCAGTTGTCCGGCAAGTAAGACTGGCACACAATGCGGCAGTTGTCAGTCATAGGGATTCGATCCTCGAATATCGAAATGATGCATCCATCCACAACACCGCGACCATGTCTGTCGCGCAAGTTTTTCGCTGAGGCCACGTCATTGTTTGCCAAGGTCAGAATCCTGGGCTGCGAGCGACGGCAGCAAGCGACTTAGACGACGTCTGCATGATGCAAGACAAACTGATTTTGTCTGCTTGGTGCGTACTACCAGTACAGCATGCGACAGTCTTAGGCATCGGCTTTGTTTAGACACGATTCAGCTGCCCTTCCGAACCCAACGCAGGCACTTGCACTCCCAGGCTGTCTTCTTCTACCTGTCGTCGTCTCTCGGCCGAGTGGCGTAGACGGTGCAATCTGTAAGTAAGCACATGGACATCCTTTCATACCTGATTGATGTCCAGTCCTGAATTATGTGACTATGTCATGTCTGCCTAGGTCTAGTAGCTGGCTGATGCCGCCGTCCGGAAACCCAAAAAACGCACGTGAGATCTACAGGACTTTCGCGTCTAAGGCTTGATTTTGGAGAGGCCCAGAATTACTGAACATGCATGCAAAGAAGGACTCTACAATGCTGCAGACCATGTGCCCTGGCAAGCTTCACAGTTTCATGAAGCTAAGTACTAGTGTTGGGCTCGTTGTAGGAGGCACTGGCTTGGGAAGCGAGAAGTTCAAGACTATTCGCACTGACTGCGGTTTGAGAGGCACGGAATGCCAAGAAGTGCATGGTAGCGCTACTCCCTGGTATGGGGCGTGAGTGCCGGCGCACGGGGAGCAGGCAGCCGTCTTGCAGACTGTCTTTATAGGGTTGGGTGATGGAATCTGTCAGCGACAGCACGGGTTAGACCATGGACGCGATCATTGTTGGGCAATGGAAGCTCTGTACCCAGAACGGACTCGACCATGGACTCCATCATGGTTGAGCTATGGATACTCTGTTCTCAGAACGGATTAGACCAAGGAATATCCCCTCGCGTGTGGCAATGCTACATATGTTTGGCGCTGCCGAGTCAGACGGTTCGGTACAAAGAATCCAGACAGATGCCCTCATAAAGCGAAAGGGTCCTCGCGACTTCCCCTCGGACCATCATGAACATAAAATGTCTTCCACCCTGTACAAGACTATACCGAGCTTTGCCCGAGTCCTCATCCTTGCAGGGATCTGTCTCAACTACACCGTGCTTTCCACTTTCCCTAAGTACACTCGTAACAACGACGCCCAAGGACGCGCTCCCAAAAGATGAGCTTTGGAAGTAAGTGTAGTCGTTGTTTCAATGGATGCTGCAACTGAATCGGGGAGAAAGAAAAATATTATATACATATATATATACAATATATTACCTAGATAGATATGATCTCGGTTTCGGGTGCGCCAAACCCTCCCAAACACACCCGATCCTTGTGACAGAGGACACTTCCCAACCACGACTCCGACTTGAGGTTGTCAATAATGCAACTGTCACGAGGATCGCGTTCCTGACAGGCCCGGTTCTTGTGACGGATGATCCTACAAAGGAACAGGATGATGATGCTGCTGCTGATGATGATGATTATGATGAACCCAAACTGCAAACCACACCACACATTCACCACACCTCAGGGGGGGAGAGGAGCGGCATTGGGGGGCGGGGGGGGGGGGAGGGGGGGTTAGGGTTTNNGGGGGGGGGGGGGGGGGGCGGCCGTACCGGATCATACATGCCCGCAGTCGGCTCAGAAGCCCACCCACCGGGCTGGTGCTACCTGTCAGAGTGGCCCCTCCTCGCAACGACATCGGGGAATGCAGCCTGATGTTGGAATCTGTAAAAGAATTAGACAGGACTGCAGACTTCCAAGCAGCTGTTTGCTTGACTAAGTGCGGCTGAAAAAGTGTCACAGCTTCGCTCATAGCACGGCGGCCGGAAACTTTAGTTTCACAAGATTGATGACTGCGATAGGCTTTCCTGGTCGAACTGACACGTGGTTGGCTTGAACAGAAAGCAATTCGCCTGTTCGCAGCAAGCTGTAGACAATTATTTGAAGGCCAAGTGCCAACGCACCTTGGTTTTCCGAGATGAAAATCTCTGAGTCGACATTGGATTAACTTCTTCTGGAAGTACAGTAGTGGGGTGATCTGACAAGCAAGTCATGTTCGCTCCACGTCTTCAATAAACGCCATGAAGGGGGGTAAATCCCAGCTTATCTTGGATAGCTGACAACACGTCAGTTGCGAAGGATTTGGATTCATCTTCCTGCCACAAGTGTTTTACAAACGTAGGGAGGAGTTCATCTAAACGGAAATGGGAGGAAGGTAGCACCGTCTGATTTAGTTTGAGATGTAGAAAGAAACTGCGCAAAGCCTTGTCGTACATCGCATTCGTGATGGGTTCTGCGCCGTCAAACCCGCAAGCGAGCCAAGTTTGGCCTTAGCCGCTGCCCCAGCCTGTTCTTGCCAATCTTGGCGCCATTTAAATTTATGTGCGTGCGTTTGTCTGCAAAGAGACGTAAGCTAAGCAGGGCTGCAGGGTGGCAGCCGGCAACCAGACACTTATGCGACGATATGACGCCACATATGACAAGGCGCAGCTTGTTCGCTGTGTAGAGCGTAACCAAGGAGTCAGATATATGAAAAAAGTTGCTGTCAGTAAGCCCTTCCTGAATGACAGGCCACTTGATGGTCGTGAGAAAATCAGACAGCTCTAAGTAATCCATGTGGCAATCCGGCCGTCGCCAGTGCTACGAACAAACTGTGCGCCAACGCCAAAGCTAGGCACGGACGTGCGGAGTCTGAAGCTAGAAGAGGTTCAGAATTTGACAGAAGTACAACATCTGCACCTTTGTTTGATACCAACGTGGACAAACGTCTGCCTAATTCAGCTTGTGCTGTAGCATCTCGTCCGGCGTCTGCTGGAAAACGAAACGGATGTGCTTATAGATTGAAAAAGGTGCACGACAGCTGGTCGACCTCTCCTTCTGGTGGCTCGTTTGGGCTTTGGTCCAGTTGGCGGTCTGGTACCTAGTGCTGCTGGTTTGGCACTGGTTTGCAACAATTCGCAGTCGACCTCGCTTGGCTCTTCCTCCTCACTTGGTTCTCTGTAAGTGTACTCGCCTGCACAAGCTGACTTTGGACTTGTCGGGTGGTGAGGTGTGTTAGGAGTTTGCTTCTGCCCGTGTTTTTGTGTGTGTGTGCGCGTTGCATCAGTCTCCGTTCCTTTTCTTCGTTCTCTTATTCTTGCCGCCTCTGTCTCCAGATTACCGGCCCGTTTTCGTCAACGGATCCAATCAGATTTCCCATTGAGCGAAGATTATACGGCAAACTCCACAGAAGACAGGCCCACCGGCAAAATCAGATCTCAGTCATACACACCACCGACGACACATGTGGGAGGACGAATCTCCCATTACACTGGCTTTGCAAGCCCAACCGCATCGGGTTTATTCCTAAATCACGTGAACGTAGGATCATGGACGTCATCATGGTTGGGCCACGGATGCTCTGTGTTCACAACGTGAAAAAACAGAGAAAGATAGGCAAGACTGAAACAGTCAAAAATGAAGGCATATGAAGGCAATTCCAGCATGCAAAACTCGAGTGTTGGACACGATGCAAGCTAATGATAACGCAAGCAAAATCACCATAAACACTCGAACACCACCCGCAGCAAGCGCAAAAGGCATCAACAGCTCGAGGAGTACGGGCATGGCAGAGCAAAACCAAGAAGGATGCAAAGGGAACAAGCTGCAAGAAAGGGAGAGGCGGCGGCAGCTCAGCCGGCTGGCTCTAACTATCTCTAACTACTGGTTTTAACAAGGAGGGAAAACTCAGGAACTTCAGGTTGGCATTCGCTTAATGCCCGTTTAGATTTGATGATTTGATGTTCACGTAAAGTTTAAGCAGATGCAGGCAACCAAGGCTCTTGTTGTCATCCAGGACAGTATTCAGGTTCTCAATCCAGATTGCATCGATGGGTCCGTCGCCTCAGCTTCAGAAGTCTTGCTGGCCACATGACTGCTTGCAGGCCGAGTGGTCGACAAACAATCCAGGTGTGGTACTTCAGTGCACGATTGTTGCGCTGCTGCCATATAGAGGCAAACCTTTGCAGCATCATGCTTGGAAACAATCCTCCGAGCAGTTGCAAGAGCCCATCTCTGAAACTCCGGTGCCCGGCACGCCGGGTGTCCACTCATCGCCTAGGGTTCATGCTTTCGTGCAATCAGATCGTGACTTTGCCTCGACTGCCTGTTTCCGTCTAGTCCTGCGCATTTTCCGCACCCTGAATCAACCATCAACAGTGCCTGTGTCAAGAATGCCGTCAGCATTCAGGTATCGTTCAGTACATAACTAACACTAACAGTTTTAGTGCTCCAGTTCTAGCCTTTCTATCACAGACTCGACCGAATTCGGGGAGTCCCCATTACATGCAAAGGTAAGCTCTCAGTTAAAAGCCAATAGGTAGAGATACTGAAGAGGAGCTAAGCACGCAGGCTGAAAAGAGGGCATCAGAAGCCACTTGCCAGCGCTGCCCTGAAGCTTAACACCTGTGGCAAAGCACGGCGGACTACGTTGGCTTTGCACGAGATTCTGGAATTTTGCGCCTGCCATCCTTTATACGGTCATACCTTCATGCCTTGATTTGCTATCTGTCGCGCTGCTCACTCCCACTACATCCAATGAATGCTGATTTGCCAGGCACTGGTTCTCACGCATCTTGCACGAGACCGACAAACTTTCAGGCAAACAAACGAAAACACAAATTGACAGGGCCCTCGGGTGTTCCGCTGAGATTTGGTCACGCTGCACGCTGCCACTACCGAGTAGGGCGCTCAGTGACCAAGGAGGCGGCTCGAGGCATCCTTGACGCCGTACATCTGTGCGTCAGTGATTGCCTTGTGGCTATTCGGAACGCGACGAAGACTCGAAGTCCAGAAGATCAGCGGATCCGACTTGAGCCTTGGGATTCATCACTTGTAGCTTGTGCGGCAGTGGCCTCTCGGAATCCTTGGCAGCTGCAATGCTGGAAGCTGCACCTTCCCCGACATGTCCCTGCCTCCGTCATGGCTGTAGTAAGTGTCTGCATGATGCGGGACTTACCGCAAAGGGTTGGACCTATCAGGCGAAGCAGCATGTCTAGTTTATGGCCTACTCCCTGCCGGCTCAACAACTGCGGCCTACAAGCATGAAGCCGTGCCGTACCAAGGAAATCCTCAGCATTATTCAGCAGTTGTTGTCCCTGGCAGCAATTTGAGGGACACTGCCGTCTCAGGATCCAGGATCCTAAGGGCAAAGCTCATAAAGCTGAACGATCTTGAGCAGCCAAGTGTCCTGCACGAATCCAAAAACAACATGCGGGACTGACCGCGCTTCCACCAACAGTCCTTCCCGAAGAGCCGTTCCTTTTCAGCCAGCTTGTTGACCTAGGCGCATCCCGGTGCAGCACCAACATGACCAACGATTTGACAACACAATCCGGGAGGCTGACAGCAGCCTCGAGGCTGTCATAGGTCTTCTTTGGTGGATCATGCACCTCGGCTTACGGATGCCTAACACTGCAGACATGAAGATGAATCCCGTCCTTGGGGAATAGATCCTTGAGCAAAGCCATAAACAAAGGCACCTGGGCAAAAGCACGCGAGTAGCATGCTTTCCTGCATGACATAAGAAATTAGAGGAAAGCTTCGGCTGCCGATGGCACAGCAATCAAGATCATCGAGGAGCCACCGAAGTTCAAGTCTCCGGCATCGTCAGCCACCAGCTTTGACAAGTTCATGTCCCTTACCTGAGACCCAGCCACAAGCTCGACACTAAGCAAATTATTCTTTGCATGCATGCTGTGTTTACCAGCACCAGCAGACCAGCAAACTCTCACAGCTACTCCGGGCTTATGAACTGTGCCCGAGGTGCTGTACGCATGAACAGCATCTCCTCTTCAGCATCCGCTGACTCTCCTCTTTTTACGGCACCAGACCTAGTACGGGTCGCGAAGAACTGTCACCGCCTGACTGCCACTGATTGCACCAAGCCTCAACTAAGGATCGCTCTGACGGAGGACACTCAAGATGTTCCTCAACCCGAAATCGTAGTGTCGCTGCTTGCCTCTTGAGCTCATCGCAGAAGTAACTAGCAATCATACACATCCGAGGCCTTGCACGGTCATCAAGTATTATGCTGCCATCGGAAACATGCCAGCAGGACTGAGCTGCTGCTCGCAAAGTGCATACAAGATGTTGAACCTGCGAGGCTTTGAAGCTGGCAGCCACAATCCTAAAGTGCATGGCTTTGGATCGCAAGATCGCAGCTAGCAGCTAGCGCGAGCTTGGTCTTCCGCTTCTTGCCAAGATTGTCCATGTACACGTATCCAACCTGTGAGTAATAGCATGGACCACAGCAATGCAGCAGAGCCATTGCAGCACTCCATGCCGATATGCTCGAGTTGCCGCCGAAATACTGAGGCCAACTTGACCCGCATGATTGTCTCACGGTTCCTCGAGGTATTGCGGGGTTTCATCTCTGAAGTTCAACTGAATCCCCTGCTCGTGCAAAGTCGTGCCCTGGCATGCTGCATGTCCTCTGATTTTTTTCAGAACGGCAGGCCACAGCGTCTGTAGCCAGGCCACGCCTGACCCTCCAGCTGAGCTGTGAGGGAAAGCTCGCGAACATGATACACGTCGGAATATGGGTTCATGATTCCTGCAGCAATGGTGACGTTGGAATCAGCATGAATGATGGCATCACAGGACGCTAGCAGCAGCGCGTCAACCAAGCAGTCTCTGGCATCTGCTAGGGTCAATTGCGTAGGCTGGCCATGAACTTCCCTGGGCAGCTGCATGTCGTTGATGCCTCCCACTGACCGCTTTGCTTGTTCGTTGAATACTAGGTGTGATCCGAAGGCCATGCGGAAGGCAGCTACTGCTGGTTCATCATCGGTTGCAAGCAGGATTATAGGTGGGACACCTTTGCGGCTGTACTGAGGGATCAGTTTTCGCACTGCATCTATATAGGACTCAGTGCACAGCATGCGCTGCTCTAGCTGCATGCGAGCTGTTCCGGGGTTGTCGACACGCTTGTGAACCCCAATCAATGCTGGAGCTCCAGGCAAACCTCGCCCTCGCACCATTGCAAGAACCCGATCACGCAACTCCAGCACTTCCGGGAGGGGCCGCAAACACCTTTCGGCCACCTCCGCATATGCTGCTCGGCGTTTTGATGCCCCGGGTCCACGAAGGAACTGTCCGCGAAACACGTTCACCAAGAGGAAGTTGAATCTGTGCGTCACATCGAAGCGCGGAGTCTTCGTCTCGCACGTGTTGGCGTCGCTCTGGGGTAATTGCTGGAAGAGACTGTGGAACACGTCCTCCCCAACAGCGCCATAGTTGAACTCACGTTCCTTTCCGGTTCTTACCCAGTCAGGATCCACCCTACATGTGGCGAAATAGCATGCATCAAGGACTTGAAGCCAGTTTGCAAAGAAGCCATTGTCTACCGTCGCCACGCGTACGTAGCGAGCCTCTGCTAAGTCACAGAGCTCCCCTAGGGTTCGCAGAATGGCAACGGGAGCCTTCCGAGCTTCCTCTTTCTTGAAGAGTTTCTCTTCTGTGGGGCCAGAAGTAGCGGAAGCGCCCCAGTCGGTGAAGTCACGAAGCGTTCCTAAGACTTCCTCGCAACATTCCAGAAAGAAGCGGAGCTTTTGGCGCGGTATGCAGTCGATAGCTCGGCCTAGCACCCGATAAGCAAATGCAGGCATGCGGCTGTGGAAGACACCGAGGGCCAGCTCATCGAGGCCTTGAAGAAGCTCTGGGACTTGGTGATCGTCACGTAGGCCTTGCGACGCCTTCAAAGCTTGGGGCTGTGAGTCGAGACCTTCCCATCGCTTGGGCTCCAGAGCTGCTAAGACGAACTGTGAGGAAACCGGAGGCAACTTGAGAAGCTGCCGCAGGATGTAGTTGCGCACCACTCGCCAGCGATCTGCCAGCACCTTCTGCTGTGGACCAGGCCCAAAGCCAAGCCACCAATTCGTGAATATCCCGACGAGTGAAGGCCCCAACTGCTCAGCAATAAAATATTCAATGTGCCGGGACAGCTCCAGAAGAGAAATGTTTGAAAGAGGCCAGCGAACCTTGGCCGGGCTGAACAAGACACCTGAGTCATAAAACCACCAGTTGAGAGACACGTTCTCCTGACCAACACTATGCACGTGATGGAACCAACTCATGGGCAGGAACAGAAGGTCGCCGGGAAAGAGCATGGCATCCACTCCCCGACCTTTCAATCCACCAGCGCGTGGCCACCGATTCACATCGAGATTCTCCAAATCGACACGAGCCTTGCGGTCAAGTGAATGATGAACCGGGTATGGATAAAGGCATTCTGCACAAGTTACATCGAAGAGCAAGAAACGTTTGCAGCCTCTCAGCTGTAAGTACAAATTGTGCTGCTGATCGTAGTGTGCTGCGGTCAAGAAGTCGGAATAGCTAACAAACAGCTGGTTTCGTGAAAGCTCGCCGAAACAACCCATTTGAGCAATCTCATGGACCAGCTGTCTGTTCATGGTATGCAAGTCTGCTTCAAGAACATCGTCGAATTTGGCAGAGGTAACTATGCCACCTTCGTATCGCAACACTGGTGTTTGCAAGTAATATGATTTGCCATCTTCGTTAACTTGCTGCTTATGCACAAAGTCTTGAAAAGTCATCTTGCAAGCCTCCGCAATTGTACTTGGCTCATAACCTCCCTCATTGCGGCACTCGAAGGAATAGGCAAAGCGCTTTGCATTCTGAGAAGAAGCGAAGGTATGGTAAAGCTGCGTACCCATGTGCTCATACAGATAATCCACGTCCCACCTGTCCACAGCTCGATTGAATATAGGCAGGTTCCGAACTATGCAAGGGTACGGTGAAGTGGGGTTCAAAAATGGCGCCAGCTGCTCCCTGACTTCAGGTGATAAGCAGCCCTTCGCATCTACAACGGGGCACTGGTGGCCGATGAGTTCCGGATCATGTCTTGGAGGAGCCGCCTTCTTCTCTGCTGTGGTCTCTGCTGTGCTTCGGAAGCAGGTCGCCGCCTTTGCGATGTTGAGCGGGAGGCTTTTTTCGGCTGCGCAACTTTCAGGGAGAGGGTGCAAAAGGCTATATTCGTGCTTCTCTTGCATGTGAGGCTCCCAGCCGCACTTCTGCCACAGCACATCCAAAACTTTTTGAAGCATTACATCATCTTCGGACACTGGCGCAGTCGCTCTCGCCGACCCATCCAAACGAGCCTGCAACCCTGTCCCCACCGCATCCAGCAAGTTCCGTGACTCAGCCAGTTCACGAATGATGCGCAAAGCTTCTGGGATCGGAAGTGACGGCTCCGGCGGGGCCGCCTGGAATGTCTGTCGATCCAAATGTCGCGGCACGCTTTGGCCGAAGCATTCCTTGCCCTTGCCCTGCTGATGCACCGAACCTTGCGCCTGCAGCACACTCTTACCGTTACCTGCCTTCAAAGAGCACCGAAGCCTGTGAACCGGCCAGGCTTTCCGCTGACACTCCGGCCCACAAAAGCGTTCAAAGCATCGACTGCAGCGCGTGGGAGCATCCGGGCGTAAGCAACCACTGCATGTCACCATGAGATTCCACGGACGGCCGACGACGATTTACAGAATCTGTTTGCTCCTTGCTTTTGCTCGCTGAGAGTTTGTTTTACAAGTGTTGTACATGTTGGGGGTGCTTGCCACTCTCACCAGCATTGCTTGAGCCCACACAGGATGTTTCATGCAGGTTCATGCAGCGTCTGGTAAGGCTCACAAGACTTACAGGGTGCTTCAGATTTGAGACAGGGGCGGTACCATCATGGAGACCTGGAAGGTTGCGACTCAAAGACTGCGGCATGCCCAGCTTCGCCCGGAGCGACAAGGCCCCCACACCCCGGAACAGGACCTTCAGATTTTCTGGCAACTCTTGCCGCCCAGCCTTGGCTCTTAATTCTGCAGTTCGGCACATCCTCATCTTGTCTCGGCCCTTGGCGTAACCTGGGTTCATGGTGATGAAATAGCCCACCGACCTGGAGCAACACAATCTGCGCATGATATTTCATGATTCTGCATGGAGTCTCATGACCCGGTTAAGGTTGGGACGCCACGAGCTTGATTGGATAGGGCTCACCCGGGAAGAGGAAAGTCTTAGCATTCTGCTTCTTTGCCTGAAGCACAGACGGTTCGAACAAGACATTCGTATGTTTTGGTGGCTTCCAGCTCGCCTGCATGATGGATTCAATTTGGGTGGCCACCACGCTCAAAACTTCCAGCTCGATGCGATTGAACTCGTCAAAACACCCCCAAAGGCCACTCATGCCTCAGAAGGCGGACTCGTCAACAAACGTCAACGAACGAACTAATTCTGCCGGTCCGAACGCCTTTTTCTCCTTCTTCTGCACATGGCTTGGAAGTAGCTTCGCTCACGAAAGCAGCTGCCAAAGGCACATGGTCTGAGGGGAACCATGCAGATGGCAGCTTGTCCGGCCACGGCGGCCATCGACCAAACGACCAGCCAAGCCTCTCCTCCTCTCCAGCAGACAGAGGCCACCTAAGGCTGCCAAGATTCAAGTTGCTGCTGTGATAAATGAAGTCTATGCGGTCATGCCGTCCCTCAGCTCGGAAGGTGGCCGGTGGTACAGGTAGGTCAGAGTAGGCATCCAGGAACTTCCAGCTCTCATGTCTTCGAGGAAACGGATGATAGCCAGAGCCATGCTCGTCATCATTGGCTTCAAGCATCTGAAGCTCGCCATGCAGCCGGGTGCCCGCCGGCTCGTTGAAGTCTCCAACGACCACCGCACAGCTCGATTTCGTATCGACGCCAAGATCTTGTCTCAGCTTGCGAAAGCGCCTGCAGACAGACTCCAGCTGAGACCGACGCGCATCCTGTGCCGTAGGCTCACCCTGCAGGTGGACATTCGCCACGAACAGTGTCAGTGGTGTAAAACCCGCGACCACCGCACCTGCATCGCTACAAACCTCACGCAGTGCCAGCAAGCTTGCTCGAGAGCGATGCTCCACCGTCACCACTGTGAATTTGCTTGTTCTCACAAACGTCACAGGCTTCTCGATTCCCTTTCGCGGCTCTGTAGGTGCAACCGCCTCGTACCCTGAGAGTGCCAAAGCGTCTAACAGTGACCGGTCTTCTCCTGCTGCTTCTTGACAGCACAGAACGTCAACGTCTAGAGACAACAGTCGCTCAATGATCAAGGGTCTTCGGTAAGCCCACTGCCGGAACGCCTGTGGCACATAAGGATAGTAATCTACATCTGCAAACCGTGGCGTGAGAATGTTGAAGCTGCCGATGCTGAAGTGGCCAGGCTGTGAAGCGGGCAGCTTCATGGGCGGTCTGACGATGCTCGGTGACCGCTGGCTCGCCAGGGCCAGGCATGGGCAAAGGCCCATGTCGCGCTGCGGCATGGCTCGCCCTGCACGAACCCGCACCCGGAACCGAAAATGCACCGGCTGATGTAGTACCGCCTTCTTATATGTCCCCATTAAGTACCACTGGATTCCCACCAACTTCTCGAATTGTTTACATTGCTATCCGCTGGAATATGGAGCCGACAACGGAGCTTAGGAACTCCTGGCGAACAAAGCTGCCAAGCCAATGCACTGAGTTCTGCACATAAGCCTTTGAAGATCTTCGCCATATCCTTGAAGCGGTGTTGGTCCTGGAAGAAGCTCACGCAATACATGTCTGAGTGAGAAGAACAGTAGGCGCACGGAGCAGTTCGTCACCACCACGAAGATGCCCAATGTCCGGCCCATGTCCTCTGCAGCAGCAGCCGCGGGTGAAACTAAGGGAGACTGATTGGGACGAAAGTGACGAAGGCATGTCAGCAGCCATCGCATCCTTCGTTGTCTCCGTCTTCCCCGTTCCGGCTGGACCAGCTGGCCTTATTGTATCGAGCTTGTCCGGTCGAGATCCGTTGAGCATAGATCAGTTCGCAGAAAGTTCTCAGCATCCCACGCACCACCGAAGAACATCCCCAAAGCTTGTGACCTCTGCTAAAGGCTCAGGTTGTAGCATGGCCTGCAGCGGGTAAGCAACTCTAATCGTCCTACTCCAAGTCCTACACCATGCATCAAGTGATGCAGCATCACTTGATTTGTCTGATCTAAACCTTGCCTTCCCCAACTAGGACCCGGTGCCACCCACTACGAATCCGAAGGATGATTGCGCAAACGGACTTGGAGCAGTACTGTGTCAAGTAACATCGGTCGGTCAGGGCCGTGATGACCAGCCTCAGGCTCGTCGTAACCCTCGTGCTTAGCTACGTATTCCGCCCTGCCCTGCTCTCACTTGGTCCCCTTGGGCCGAGACCGCTCCTTACATCCCAGGTATTCGTAGGAGTAGATCTGGCGGAGTGAGAGATCAGTGATGCTGCGGTGTGCGGTGCTTCTTGCACTTAGGCCGAGGCGAAGTCGACATCAGCAATGGAGATAACAGCGTGGTCGTTCTCCGTGCGCCAATACATCCGTGTCCTTGAAAGGAAAGAACGAAAGTAGAGACAGACAGAGCTCCTATCTTATACACAAGGCAAGGCAGGAACTGTTTCAGCCATTCGAAATCATTCTCGTCTTTGACCTTCATGTCCTTCGGCTTCTTCATGACCTCAAACCGAAAGGTACAAAAATGCTTGGAGTTTTGCAGCTCCTAGCCGGGGCCTCCATGAAAAGGTCTTTTTGATGGACATGGATCGTCACCTGAAGGCTTTCGCATCGCAGCGCACAGAACGCCCTCGAGGCTTGACTTTCAGTGCAGGGATATTCTGGTGGCTCCATGAAGCAAGAACCGAGGTCCCAACAAGTGTTTCGTATTTGATGCGCCTCAGCCTGATTGGCAGAAGTCGTGAGGACTGGGCCTCCTTCCACATGGCAACCGTGGGTGTCGCACTTGGACAGGTCGCCCTGCAGGCAAACCTGGATGAGGTCCGTCAGCAGCTGCCCGAACCTGAAACTCAGGTCCCTCATGCAGAGCATTTCTTCTCGAAACATATCGACACTTTCAAGTGGTCTGTGGTTTTGTCGGTGTTTTGAGAATCTGCGCCGTGCACGGTTGATGCCTGGACAACTTCTCCCATGCTCTGTTTTGAACATGTCCTTACTGTTGGCATGTCTGGCTCCGATCTCCTGGCTTTGGCAACGTCTGTCAAGGCGACCAGCTATCTCACGCAGTCCACTTCCGACTTGTTGTTCGCCTCAGGGGTTTGTGACCACAAGACCATTGTCCTTCGCATCTTCTACACGGAGTTCCGTCTCCGTGCTCCGCAGTTCTATCGGGCAACCTTCATGAGCGGAGTCGGAACGAAGGTGGGTTCACTGAATGTGGCATTTGCTGCGGGTGCAGTCTCGCACTGCTTCGGCCGCAAGATGCCAAAGGTTTGTTAGTTAGCATCACTGCTGCTTCCCGGAGTACAGCATGAACTGAACAACATCTCTGTCACCCATCAGATTCCTTGACCTCGGAAGCAATCTGATGCATGCTTAAACGGTCTTGGTGTCTTCGACCTAAGATGTATTACCTGAATACACGACCTTTCTGACGCAAAACTTTGCAACAGGCACAGAGCCTCGGGGAGCCTCGGCAGTGGACTGTGTACGCGACAGGTCCGTCAAGTCTCACTGAAATTCTCAAAACGCTTCTTCCGCCCTGTGCTCGCAACATCTGTCCAGTCTTGTTTGTCCTGGAATCCGTGCCGCCGAACGACTTGTTCCGGGTGGACGTCATGACCGTCTTGTCCTTCAGATCTGAGGGAGGGTGCTCTGCTTTCTTCCAAGGGTCCAAGGTGTCATACGCAGCGTCTGCACTCAAAATCTGCAGGAGATGCCATGCAGTGACATATCAAATGCGCCTTCTCTCGCGCCAAGGTTGTCAACGCCTCAGATCAGGAATCGTATTGCTGCACTCCGTAGCCTGCAGCCTTCAAGGCATAGAATAAAAATCATGGAATTTGCCTATCAAACGTCTGTGCCGAGTCGATCTCCTCGGACCGAATATTTAGCCCGTGTCGACGCCAAATAGTGAGCAACGACACCAAGACAATTCAAGGGCTGTAAGGCCACTCGAGGACAAGCCGACTAGTTTTGCACTGAAAAAGACCGGCTTTCACGACTGCTTGTGCTCTGCCGGAACCGACTTCCAGGACATGAGCAGTGAAGTTCTCAGGCAAAGTTAAGATATCAAAAAGCGCTGCGGCTGCGAATGAAAACGACCTTTGGGTATTCCCCGCGCAGCGGCCGCTGTCAGAACCTTCCCTGTCGGCCCAAACTTTCAGCGGCACCACAGCGCACACTGTTCGAAGAGCCGCTTGCTCTACTCTACAAGTGCTCGATACATGAATCCCTCTATGCTGCGGGATTGAAATCCGTAGTCCCGTAGTAACCGTAGTGAAATAACTAGTTGGTGAACATTCCCTTGTTTCAGCAATGTGTGGAGCACCCTGGCTCAGGTAGGTGTCCCATGACATTCGATTCGGACAGTCTGGGCTCCGGGCCTGCTGGAAGTCTGTTGTCCAAATCAGCTGGATTCCCAGCCTGGATGCCAAAATGGCTCAGTCACACAGTGGTCTTGTGAGCGAAGGATTCTCTCATGCACTGCATGCACAGCACGTCAAGCGGACTTTTGTCAGCGCCGGTCCTTGCTCCTGACAGCCTCGTGGCTGCTGGAACGGCTTCTCTTCGGCTCCAGACTTGCACCTTCTTACTTCTTAGTCGTGTTAGTCTTGGCATGGATCCCGACATGCACGTCCACTTCCAGATGCAGAAGCCTACTCGCTGGGCATTCTGTTTCAGCATGGCTCCAGATCGCCCAATCTGGCCCTCATGAGCGGTAGTCTGCATTGATCTTCACGTACTCGGTGGTCAAGTCAGATCCCAGAACCTAGGCTCAATCAATCCACCAGGAGATGCTTGACGAGCCCAGGTAGTCAGGTAGTCACTTACCATGAATCTTGAACTTTGGAGCACGAATGCGCTCATTGGGCTGTCCATTGTTTGCTGATTTTGTTTTCTCGACATGTATGGTAACGATTGCATTCGCAGGGGCAACGGCTTTTCCATGTCCGGCTCCCAAGACTACTTCCACGTCAACCACTCGCCGGTGCTGCGGGTAAGGTAGCTGACCTTTGTGTGCGACATCCCCATTTCTGCTGGCGTCTACTCAGAAATTGAACGAGCTACAGCACGAAATTCGCACAAAACTGCAGATCAAGCATCAGTCAGCTTCGGCAAATTTCAAGTGGCTGCTCAGTCGCTTCTCCTTTGCAGTATCAAGCCTGAACTGGCCTTTCTCGAAGATGGTCTCCCCACCGATTTTGCACACGCAGTCCTGTGCCATCTGTGCACCCGCAGCCCCCAAAGCTTGCCCCACCTTGCCGATCAAGCGCCCCACATTGGGATCATTGCCGGCAACAGCCGACTTGAACAGGGGCCCGTTCACTACTGCTTTTCCAATCCTTTTTGCGGTGTCGTCAGTGTCAGCACCACTGATGCTCACGCGTATGACATGCTGAGTTCCTTCTCCATTGCGCACTACCTGCGCTGCCAAATCACAGCAAACCTCTTGTAGGGCTGCCTTGAATGCCTCCTTGCTGACTTCCTCCGTCGCTTGCCCGCTGGAAATCAAAACAACCGTGTCGCTGGTAGACTCATCTCCGTCGACTGAAATGGCATTGAAGCTGGTGGCCACGCATTCCTCCAGCATCTTTTGTAGCTCAGCCCTGTCGAAGCTGGCATCTGTCATCAAAAAGCTGAGCATCGTCGCCATGTTCGGTTCAATCATTCCAGCGCCTTTGGCTATTCCAACCAATCTTGCTCCACCATCGAAGGTCTTTGCCGAGAGCTTAGGGTAACGATCCGTAGTCATGATTCCACGAGCGGCCGGAACTGCGCTGCCTTTTTTCAGCATCTCTGAGGATGGAAGGGCCTGCACCATCTCCATTACGGGTAGCCTCCAGCCAATCACCCCTGTCGAACTTGGCAGGACTGCCGTCGCACCCGGTAGCTTTAGCTTCTTTGCAAGCTCAGTGCACAACTCTTCGCTGGCCGCTACGCCTCCATCAGCATCCGGAGGGGAGACATTGCTGATTTTGTTGTTCACAACGATGGCTTGAAGATGCTCTCTTTCTGACAACCGGCGACGGCCAACACGAACGGGAGCACCCGGAAACGCATTCTGCGTGAAAACTGCTGCGACCATGTCACTGGGCTCGTCAACGTGGATTACAGTTATTCGCATGGGGAGCTCCCCCATTTCTTGGGCTTCCTCGGGGACGAAAGTCAAACTGCTTGATGCAATTCCGAAGCCTTTCGGCAAGTCGGCGTCGGCTTCGAGTGCCTCCAAATATTCCGCTTCGGACTGGAATTCTCTGCTGTCCTGTTCTCCGGCAGACCACTCACCAGCCAATCTCCTTAGTCTCCTGGCCCGTACGAACCGCCTCGAGCAAGCTAACGATGTGAAGCAGGCCGAGATCCAAATCGCTCTACCGGCTTGGTTGTCCAGAATAGCCAATTGACGTTCGCTGGTAGGCTTGGCTGAAATGTCGGGATACTGCTTGACCCCCAAGGCATGACAAACAGCCGGACGCCCAGCTTTCAGACTTTCCTTACACTGCAGGCACAACGTGCACTTCGCCATGCACACTCAAAGCAGCAATGCCACACTCCAGGCTGTCATGTTCAACACTACCAGTCATTTCCAAGAGACAGTGCTCAGCTGGGCCAGTCCTCGTCTCCGCTGAAAGGGTGTGTTTTGCTTACACAGCTTCTGGCAACTTTTCGCTGATTGTGCTGTCGAATGCACAAAGGGCATGTAATATTTCTGGCCCATTTGGGCCCCCTGTTTCTCTCTCTCTCTCTCTCTTTCTCCAGGGCATGGGGACGGGTCAGCGTCCCCGGGCCGAATGGCCCACCCAATTATATTAATTGGGTTGGCGGGGAGTGAGAAACGAGTGCAGGTCATCTATGAAGGCTAGAGCCTGAAGTAATAAAATGAAGATAAGATGACCATGTACTCTCTCACTACCCTTTCTCACCCTAAACCCTGTTTGCTTGCTTGCTTGCTTGCTCGGCGTTTGGGGTTGGGGAGATTCCCCTTCCCCTGCGCGCAAGCGCTACGCCCAGGGCCGTGTAGTCTCTAGTCGGTGTGACAGTTTCCCTCGCTCTCTCTCTTGCTTGTTGCTTGCTCGGGGTATGGACCCTCTGAGGGATCCTGGCCCGTACGCCTACCCCCCCACGGTCCGCGCTTGTCCAGTCACTCTCTTCTTCTTCTCCCAGGCATAAGGGGCGAGTTAAGCCCCCCCGGGCACCAGTAAGACATACACACCAACATAATTGCAAACATAAATCAAAATACATATATATATATATGCATATATATATATATATATATGTATACACGTATTTTTCCATGTATGTTTTCTTTTGATAGAATTTTAATAAGAATAATAATAATAAAGATATATATATATACATATATATATACATATATATATACACATACACTCATGCATATGTATATGCCCCCCCTGAACCACAGCGGGGTGCCGCGATAGCGCCACCAATCCTCCTACGTTTAGGCGTCTGGTGTATGACCCAGGTTTAACGTTAGGTTTTGAAGTTCCGGGGAGACAACATACGTATGTCGGCCGAAGCCTTCATTCTCAATTCTTGCGACCCTTCGCGCAAATACTCCAATAGATGATTTCTCCAACGATGAAATTCATTTCTGTCTGCATACCCGAAGCTCAATATGGGCCCGAATGTTATCTCCCAAGGTAGCATTCACTGTAGTCTAGTCTCAGATTCAAGGCCCCAGCAATACGTATGAATGACCGTGGGCCTTGACTGTCTGTTATTCCTAAACAATAGTATCCCTACGACTGACCCTGCCATTAAACCTGACATCGGCCCCAATGGTGAAAGTAGTCTTCTATTTCATGTTCACCCAAAGAGACTCTCTATGGATTCACATCTTAATTCGTATGGATCAAAATGCCATGTCGACTGAACCACATTATACATCCCCATATTTACTCCCATATCGACTTGCAGGTTAATACAATAACATACATCAGCCTGATCATCGGCCCCCCGATAGCCAGGATATTGCAGTCCCCTTGGCAACTCGAATATTGGATCTGACTCCAAGATGGACCTTTCTTGCAAAGTCAATATTACCCGTGAGCTGTTCCCATTGGTAACCTTCGTACTGCACTGGATACATCCTTCCACAGCAATCCGAACAATGGTCTCAGGAGGAACCCCGGCCGGCCTCAGAGATACCAGCATTTGTTTGTTTACCCCAACATATTGTATATGGCACACCCTTTCTCACTGTAGTATATGATCATCTCGGACTTGCTGTCGGACTTGCCCGTGTGCGTATATGTACGTTTATATGTATGTACACATGCTAACCCTAAGCTTCAACCTGTACTAGATACCAACATAATGACGAGGATCGCTAACTGACTCCTGATTCCAAACAACATCAACCCTAACCCTATCCTTGTCATTCGCCCTTATGTCAATGGTTACCGTAATGTTCGCCCTGACAGCAGCCCTAAGGCGATCCATAGTAGGCTTAGTACCACCCAAAATTTGACCCCGATGTTTCTCTTATTGAATTTACAACCCTAGTCGGCTAGAAGAAATCGTAGTGGCAGCTGTGATAACCCTGATATCCTGGGTCCTGGTTTGTTTTAAACCTGCAGTAGTAGCTTTCTACGTAGCCCAAAACTGGTTCGAATAATGCAGTGGTTATCACCAATTGTATTGTTTTAATGCTAAGCGGAACCGAATCCCATTAATAATGACACTCGAATATTGGCAACACTAATTCGTAACGTGCACAAACAAGAAATGAAATACACACTCTTTGCTAGGAACAATTTGGTCTTGGAGTGAAATATCAACTTTTCCGAGGAAAAAAATGGTTTTGGGCCGAATTGGTATTCCTGCCCAAAACCATCTTTTCCCAATTTTTCCTAGGACAAAATTGGTTTTTTTACCCAAAACCACTGCTTTCCCTAACAAATTGATTTTTCCTCCGAAAACCAACTTTTTCCTAGGGGGGAAACCAAAAACAAAAAAAACAAACATCTTTTGGTAAACGATACGGCCAGACTCCAAGAAGATGTTTTTTTGGTTTTCGCTTAGGAAAAAAGTTGTTTTCCTTTTCCTGTCCAACACCATCTTTTCCCTAGGAAAAATTGGGTTTTCAGTCTTTTTCATAGGAAAAAGTTGGTTTTCCCACCGAAAACGAACTTTTCCCCTAGGGAAAACACAAAAAAAAACAATCTTTTTGGAGTCTGGACGTATGTAGCTTCCAACTTGTTTTTTTTTGTTCTGTTTTGTTTTCCTAGGAAAAAATTGGTCTTTCCACCGAAAACCAACCTTTTCCTAGGAAAAAGCTTGCTTCCACTTTTTCCTAGGGAGAAGTTGGTTTTTCCGCCGAAAACACACTTTAGGGAAAACCAAAAAACCATCTTTTTGGAGTCTGGCCGTATAGTTTACCAAAAAACGATTTTTTGTGTTTTTTTGGTCTCCCTAAGAAAAAGTTGGTTTCTGATTGGAAGAATACAGTGTTGCCGTTAAGTGCGTGCTCACGTCGAACCTGAACGAGGTGCCTGGCGGTTGGTTTTTGACTGGAAGAGTACAATGTTGCAGTTGAGTGCGTGCTCACGTCGAACCTGAACGAGTTAACGAGCGCTTTTTCTTGAAATGTGAATTTGGTTTATATATACATATATACAAACATAACTATTCATATGTATATATATATATATATTTATTTATTTGTTTATTTGTGAATTTATTTATGAAATTTATATATATATATATATAGAGTTATATATCCGCCAACCAGTTGTTGGGCCACCACCTCCCAACCCCCTTCCCGACCTGGCCCTCGGCCTCGTACCCCCTACCCCTGTCTTTTTAGGACCTGACGGACCTCCTTCCATACCTGCTTGACGGCAGGTTTCGAAAAAGCGCCCGCGCGATCGACTTGACGAGGGAGCTTTGATGCGCTTTGTGATCCCTTTGCGCTCTCTTTTTTGTGGCGCTGCGTGCACATGGTTGGGGCTTCAGGGCTGAGCGCTTGGACGATTTTCGCCTTTTTGTTGAGCGACAAATATGTAAATATCGAGGTTTTCGTGCGCTCCCAGCATGCATTGCTGCTTTTGAAGCCTTGGGGCGTGCGTGGACTTGGGCGCCCCGCGGGTGAGCATCACGCGCAGCAGCTGGGCTCGGAAGATGATGTTAAAGAAGGCTGCTTTCAAAGCCTTGGGGTGTTGACTTGGGGGGCGCATCATGCGCCTCAGCTGGTGTGAGTCTGTGGCGGTGGCGCCCAAGGCTAGGAAGATGATCCAAAGAATACGTTCTAGAACTTTGCGCTTCTGTCTTGGAGGAAAACCTGGTGCCGACGCGTTTCGGCGGTCCCATGCGGTCCCACTGATGCTCGGGACGCGAAACTGGGGATGGCCGTGAAACGCCCACATGAATGGCGCGGTGCAGCAGACCAAGCTGTATCCGCCCGCGACGGTAGACTCATGATGCGCGCCGCGGAGCCCTGCACGGCCCTGAGGGCCTGGACTAGTGCGGAGGCTGCTCATGATGCGGGCCTCTGGGGGGCGTAGATAGCAGCAAGCATTTCAGGAAACCAGCCCTTAAAACCGGGCAGCGCAGGGGGCCATTTCTGCCCCCGGTCTCATGTGCAGGCCCGGCCAGACCCAAATCTTCTTCGGGTTTGCTCTACCTTCCTGGCTTAGGGTTTGCTCTGCCCTCCTCGCTTTAGGGTTCCATCTTCGGGAAGACTCTGACCCCAGGGTTTGCTGTGTCGCCGCAGCGATGCGCGCTTTCCATGCAGAATATGTCATGTGTGAGGCACCAGGTGACTTGTGTTGGCACCATCTCTCATATCACGGTCATCAGCAGATACCATGTCAGATTCGCAGGCACTTGAAAACCCCCAGTGTCTCTCCTTGCACTGCTCCACACGCCTTCTAGGGGTCTGGCGTTCAGGACCCACGAGTGACATCTCTTTCAGATCGCTCTGTTGGTGCACTGGTATTCTCATGCAGCATGCCAAAGAGACCAATTCCCACACGGGTCATTCTCCATGCAGCATATGTATAATATAATGCAATGCAATATAATATACTATACTATAATGTAATATAATATAACATAATATAGTATAATATAATATAGTATAATATAATATAGTAAAATATATCAAATATATCATAATATAATACAATAATATGTTATATTGTGTTGTATTATGCTATGGGATGTAATGTATGTATGTATGTATGCATGTATGTATGTATGTATGTATGTATGTATGTATATATATATAGAGTATATATATATATACAGAGTATATATATATATATAGAGTATATATATATATAGAGTGTATATATATATATAGAGTATATATAATGTCTATATAAAATTATATATGTATATATGTATATATACACGTATATATATATATATAATTATGCAAATTCCCTGCATTCGAGCTTCCAATTATGTCCGATGACTGGAGGGGCCTCATCCTTCACCGTACGTGTCTCGACGATTTGGCAAAGCATGAAAGCATGGACGCTTGGGTCCCCCGGGCACTCCCTTCTGTAGCGGCCGGCTAGAAGTAGTATCTCGTCAGAAAGTGGAGGGAGTCCATGCGGCGGCACAGGCGCGGGGTTGGTGGTTTTTAAGGAGGCATCACAAAGGTGAAAACATAATGCAAGCAGCGTCAAGGCTAACAAAAAGAGAGAGGTACGTAGTACGAAATCTTCA